TTATACACGGCTCTAACCCTCGTAATATCTGTTTCTTATAATGTATTTTTGTACATATGTTTTCTATTTCCCTAAATTGTTCATATTATCCCTAATTTTTACAAGTTAGGTTTTATTTTTCCATATAAGCTTGAAATAGTATAGATAAGATTTCCATTCGTTGTGTGGCTGTACGATCGATATTTAACCGTCTAACGCAACAACGTAAGTCTGGTGGACAAAGAGATAACCAATTTAAAGGTTAATTTATTGTTAGTGTAGGCGTGGTTTTTTGTCTCTTTTGGCGTATTCTCACAGTAGAGAATAAAGGCCTAATAAAACTTTTAACACAATCATTATTACTTGTTTAATTAGTTCAGATTTTTTAATTGAAATTTTACAATAATTTTCGCATACTCGATAATAATTATAAAATAAATAATAAAAAAATACAGGAGTTTTGTTATTTAAGAATTATTATAAATAGTAAAAAATATGGTTCTGGACAAAAAAATCAATTTTTTTTACTGCCAGATGCTGTTCAATTGTAAGATTTCCAAGTTTATTGATTATAAAATAAAAGGAAGAAGTGCATAAAAAAAGTGTCGAGTATCGCACCGACCTTGAAGAGGTCTTTGTCGACGTGAATGCCATCGGTATTCCACGTCTTCTTCTTTCGTGCGAACGTTGTTTGAATATAAAAGATGATTCTCCGACCATCCACCGCTGCTTTGTACAATATGCTTTTCTGTACGTAATAGTACACAGTAGCCTTTATATTTCATAAAAGTGGCATAAATACAAAAAGAAAAGATTTAAACAATAATTTAAATAAGAACTCTACTTTAAAAATATATGATTGATTATATTAGTGTTAAATATATATATACAAAATTTAAAAAACTTACAATAATAATTTTAAAATAAATGTGTTTATTAAATTGATGTTATAAACATCGAAGCAAATATAAATAATAATAACAATCGAATGGCACTTATCACCTCGTGATTTTATCTATTTGCTGCCATTTCGTCACGCTGCATTGCATTGATACGAAACTAATTTGTGCGATTACAGAATAATTTTACAGGTTTTTCATATTGTGGAATAAATATATTCGCTTAGAATAATAATAATAATTCGCTATTCCTTTTTAAACTTTTGTAAATAATTATCGACCGATCGAGTTTTCTTGATATCAGAGATTAGAATCGATTAATGTCAAACTCATGCTTGAAAAAAGTTCAAAATTCGAATAATATCTTTGCAAATACACTGCGAAATTGGTAAATAAAGAAGACATGTGATTCATAAAAAAGGTCTCAAGTGTCGCTGATTCAACAGGCACGGAAGTAAAATAGTTCAGCTCGCAGTAACGCGTGATTGAAGTCTTTACGTCATATGAGTCATCGGTGCAAATGACACGAACGCGAATTTTTCTTATTTTTTATCGATAAACCAACGTTTCACGTTTCAACATCGCGTCAATGTCAATTGATGCTAATGCGTAAAAAGACCGATGCAGTTGTTAATTTTAGAATTGCATTTTATTTAAAAAGAACCGAGAACGTACACGACGTTCGTATGCCATGTAATGTCATTGACGGAACGTTTAAGAGACGGATATTTAATCAACTGTGAATCAAGATTAACAGTTAGGCATAATACGGTAGCGGGAGCAATTTTTAGAGTAACCGCTAGTAGCGTGTATTACATAACGCACGTCGCACGTGTGGATTCCACGTGTCGAGTTACGTAAACCACGCAGACGCGTTCGTAGAAATAATAGGAATAGCGGTTTTTCATCAAAAAATAATAAGACAGTCTAACATATGATGATTATATTAGCGCGTTATTTTACACAAACTATTAATTTAAAAATATCTCTTTTTATCTTCAACATTTACATTATATCTTGTTATTGTCTCTTAAAGATCGATGATTTTTCACTCGATTATTTCGGTGATGTAAGTACTTTCAATTACTTTTCGATTTTTATTTATCAGTCTCTCGTTTCTTTTCCGAGTTTATTGTCTAACGATTTTAACCGATTCTATTCAATTGTAAGGAGATCCAAGTTCTATTATTATATTATTTATGACGTACACTATGAGACTGTTGGTAGCGCGTGTCCTATCGACAAGTAGATCTATGTAAGTTTGTCGGACGCATAGCGTCGCTAATCATGTACCTTGACTCTTTTTCTCATCCACGTGTGCTCGGCGCTAATTGTTAACGTATCGTCCGTGTTCGAGAACAAGATAACTTGTGTAAAAACCGTAAAATCTTTGTTCTATTCTTCGATTCACGCGTTGAAAACTATCGGAACGCCGCGCACTGTTACATCTATAATGTTAAATTTAATCCAATTTAAGTCAGCTGTTTCTACTCAATATATCGTTATTTTATACTAATACAATAGTTAAATTTGACATTGTAGTACGACTATATATAATAATTTCATATTTAACTATTGTTTTAATATAATAATGATATATTGGTGAACAGTACCGACTTAAATTAGATTAAATTTGATGCTAAAGGTTTAACAGAGTGCACTGCCGCCAAAAAATCACATGGTTTGGCTCGCAAAAGTATCATTGGCTGCGTTCAATGAAAAAAAAAACAGCTTAGCTACCCTTATAAAAATTTTTCACCGTTTTTAGCCCGCGCGAACGGTTAGTTTGAGTGGTGAACGCGTGCATTTCACTCATTGAGCACGCCTCCGTTTTTAGGTCGCAAACAGAAACTCTTCCGTAAAAATGAGTGATTAAAACGGAATGCACTCATGCAGGACACGAGTATATCCGAGTGGTAAAAACGTATACATTTTATGGGTATTTTTGAGTGGTAAATATGTGCTGTGTAAATTTAAAGTGAAAAACGTATTTTTAGATACTAGTATGAAATACTCAATTAACATTCACAAATACTCGTATAGCGGAAAAGAGTATTGAAAAACGGACGATTCGCTCAAAAATACTCATACTCGCATACCTATACATTTGTCGTTTATCAACGGAAAAACGAGTATTGAAAACGTAATCTCCTCAAAAATACTCATACGCATACTCGTTTATACTAGTTATCGTTCCTTTCGATACACCGCGAGTGCTTGCGAGTGCAAGAAACAGGCAGGAACGAGCTAAAAACGGTCCATATGAGATCCAAAAACGGTGAAAAATTGTTATAAGGGTATCTTTCGTAAAATTGGTTAAAATTCTTTAAGACTGGTCTTGCCTTTAATTCCTCATTGGATCTAAATATATAAACTGATCATATTAAAAAAATCTTGCAACAGTTATGCAAAGCTATTTTTTTCTTGCTGTACGCAACCCTTGTCAAATTCAAGCTTTTTAATTGAGACGAAAAATGCTGTGTCATTCTGTCGCTGGATTCACAGACAGAATATTTTATCCAACGGCTATTTCTTGCGGAAAATGTAAATCAAAGATGCTATAACATTAACGACACTAAAATTGTAAATGCAATTTACAAGACACGAAAACTATCTTTCTACGATCCGCTTAATCGGGAAGAAGGAATACCAAATGGACACCGGTGGCTTAAAAGAGTCTATATAAAAGACGAACGATCACTAGATCGAGTGATGATGAGAATATCTATGATCGGATCGTTATTATTCCGATGACGGTCGGTCCCGTGTTCAGACTGTAAATCCGATGACACAAAGGCCAATACACGCGATCTTTGCATAGTGTATTTCCGTGTTGAGGAACATACATTATTTACAATTTCCTAGTATAATTTAACGAGTGAGAAGAAAACGAAAGAAATATATACGCGCGGGAATCGAATGACTTGGCACTTTGCCGATAGAGAGAACTGGAACATTAGGTTGTCGGATAATCAGTGATAAAATGAATTTTGTCAGTCTCGTGTTACTTTACGATCTTTGAAGCGAAAGAAGATATTGGAAAGGATGATATAAAGCTTTTGTTTCAGTGAGTCAAGTTTCGTTTACAACCAAAATAATTTTTACTAGCACTTGCGGCGATATATATTATATTTTTCTACTTAGACATGCATACTCACCAACGCAGTAATTATTGTTGGCATTGCAAATGACTTTTCAACGCGATCGTGTAAACAAGTGTATCGTGCGACGACGCGAAACGCAATAATATGAATTATTGAACATTGTTATCCTTTTACTTAAAAAAGACGAAGTCTTGGCTTTCCTTATCGTCTGTACACGTGGATACATGTACGTAGACATATTGATATACATATATCTATATGCATATATTATACGTACACGAATATATCTTAATTAATTAAAAACTCAAGCCGAATCTTTCTTGAGTTTCAAATTGCGACTCACTTAAAAGTCAATCGTTTGGCCGTATCGACCTCCCATTATACAGTTTTGGAGGCGGGTGCCATTAACCAAATAAAAGTCAATCGTTGAATGAAGATAAGTGAAGGAAAAGTTCCACGTTTCTATTTGTTTAAGAACATCAGATAACAATAATTTTTCGACCGTGAGTTTACCTAATCGATAATTAAGTTTTTTTTCGTTATCTAATTATGTAATTTAAAGTCTTCAATACTCGCTACATAATGTGCACAAATGCATAATTCTAGACTTTTTGCTTGATTATGGATAAATGAAGTACTCTATTTATCGCATTGTAGCGTGTCGAAAGCAGGATATTGTAAAATTTATACGTTGCAAAAAAGTTTGAGGTACCCAATGTAATCGGCATATCAGCGTAAGATAAGTTTTTCCTTAGAATGTCACTTGCGCTGTTCTAATGCGAATACATACGCGCCATACGATCTTGTATTACTCATATGTGACGCATCGTGGGGATTACACAGCTCTATAAACCATTTCTTTTTTTTTTTTTTCCCGAATATCGCGCGAAAAACTTAATTGCTGCGCGACGAACATAATTTTTGTATCAACAGCGAACCGACAGAGGAAACTAGATTTGATTTATACATACGTATCTTTTTTGTGTATAAAAAAAAATTATTATTTTAATTTTCTTACCGCGGCAGTGGTATCGCTAATGACGACATCAATCGGTGCTGCTTCTGTATTCGCGTACAAAACGAGAAACGCTATCAGGTAGACGTTGGTTCTTTGTAAAACGATTTCGGTCCACCTCGTCATATTTTCGACGACTGTTTTCGATTCAACTCGTGCTTTTGCTTAGCTGGACTTCCGCTAAGGAATTGATCACTGTGACTTTCTCGCCTGAAGACAAGATAGTCGGTATTCTCTTCTTCACACCCCTTAAAGAACACTGAATACACACGTGCTTCTCGAAGACACCCCGTTGTATCGTCGAAAATCGCAATGTCGGACGATGTCAGATGATGATTGGTACTTTTTGATTTCAATTAGCCTCTTGTTTAGTTGAATTGTCGCATACACGAGTTATCGGGCTCTCGACGTTACTTCTCGCGTTAATTTTATTGCACGCGAAAAAAAAACGATCTCTCTATGTATTAACCGTTTCCACCGTAGTTCTCGACAGAGTACCACTTGGCAGGGTGGTGGTCTTTAACGTGGTTGCCACAACACTATCGATCTCGCAGTGTTTTCTTCGCTTGATGGTTCGGCCTCAGGGTTCTGTTGCTCCGAACGTAACTCCCCGGCGTATTCACGTGCACCTCGTTCGATTTTCAGTTCGACAAAGAACCACCCTATTCCGTGATTTGCAGAGATGGTTCGTTTCGATGAACTCGAAATCGAGGAGCGAAGGAAGACGGAGAAATAAAACGGAGAAGAAACAGAGATCAATAGTAAAATTGGAACGTATAAGGATAATGGATCGTGAGCTGATGATCCACGTCAAAGGAGAGGAGAGCCGATAAAAAACGCGCGGGTACGCGGTGCTGCTCTATCCGGAGTCCACCGCTACTCTGACTCGTAATCAGTCTGCTACTGACTTTTATCGAGATCTCCCACCATAGCCGCGATGGCCACGGTCACCAATCGCGCCCCACAACGCTTCTACACGTGCAGGTACATGTTGCAGCCTTTGCGTGCGCAATAGTCAGATTGGGTGCAAAGGACAAAGTTTCATGGTTTCAACTTCCCTTAATAATAATTTCCTCTCCCCCTTCGAAAGATTCGCTCTTTCTTTATTTCTTTATTTATTGTATGACATTGAAAGCATCTTGTAATCGTATTTTTTTTTTCATTTTTTTACTCAAGATCTTTGACTCGCATTAATCACGCTACTTTTCCCTGGTGATCTATTTTTAGTCTTTGATTAAATGATTACGATAAGTATTAAGTCTTAATGATATCCATGGAGCAATAAGATACACCTAACAGTGTTATTACTCTGTATTCGGTTATAAGAGGATAGGGAATTCACGATTCACGTAAACAGTGCAGTCGATATCTCTACGTAATATTCTGATTAATACTTAAATATTACAGGATTCTTTTTTTTTATGTGGACGAAGGAAATTATGCCTCAAAAGATTGTGTGGGTAACTATGTGACTCATTCGGATTTTAGACTGCTTTCCGTTCCCAAGAATTCCTTTAGCGATGCCGACGACCGCAGACTTGATTCCAAACCGAGATTGATGCATGAATTTCACATGTAGATAAACCCCCGGGTGAGATTAAGTAATTTTTCAATGGAATATCCGTCTGCATATTAACTCTGACAGTTGCGACGTTTATGATATTTTAAAATAGTTATTGCATGCGCGAGAGAGAATCTTTTTGTGAATTAATACGTAGTAATAAGATGTTGCATTAAAATAATAGAAGCCGATAAACGATGCCCATATTCGCCACAATTACATGTCTTTTTTTTTTAGAAATGTTCTATCTATCAAGTTAATATAATAGTCCATCGTTACACATCGTAGCAGCAAAGTGCTTTCCCTTTTAGTTATTTGCACCGGTACTACAAAGGATATTTATGTATATTAACTGAAAAGACGCGAGTCTCGTGAAGACGAAACTTGAATGCAAATGGCTGAGTACATTGAACGAATGAGTAAGCATCAGACTTTTTTGGTGCGCACTACTGCCGTTCTGCATTTCATCTCTCAATGAATAAAGAGTATTATCATTTTTTTTCCCTCCCATTCTTCTTTCTTCTTATTTAATTTATTTGGTTAAAAATCTCTGGTTTCTTCTTCCGGAATGTCATCTATGATCACCATCACAAAATCTTTTACTGATTCCGCAAATTCTTCTTACGCGAACGAAAGACTTTATGGTTCTTTTTATTCTGCGTGAACGTGATTATCATGAAAATGCTTTTCGTCGCACAAACAAAATCTCTGACAATTTTATTTGGATTTTATTTGGGAACAAGAAGTATGCGCATGTTAGAAAAGCTCTAAAAAAGTTAATAAATGAGTAAAATTTCCAGGGAATGGAAGTAACTCGTTACTTGTAACGAAGTTACAGTTACAAGTTACTTTTTTGGTAACTTTACTGGTAACTGTGTTATTTTCTTTTTTTGGTAATTGTAATGTAGTTACATTTTTTGGGTAACGGTAACGAAATTTACAGTTACTTTTATCGTTACTTTGCATACGATTGGACACGTTATTCTATTATACAGGGTGTCATCTCGGGTTAAATGGCCAAATTTGAAATACGTATTTAGAATCTCAAAACAAAGAAAAATTTCCTCTAAAAGAATTCTCGCAAACGCTTCGTTCAAGAGATATTGACTTATTAAAGTTACTGAACTGTAGGAATATTATAATGTCGAAATGTCGCTTTTTGTATTATATCTTAATTTGCTGCATATTTTATAGGTTGTAGAATTACGAAATTGTGTTTGAAAAAAAACTAAAAAATAAAACTATACATAGTGTCAATGTTATACATGCTATATATATGTCTATATTGTTTTTATTAACGTTTAAACAAAAAATATCGCAAAAGTACATTTTCGAATTGATTTTTAAAAAGTAACGGAAAAGTAACGAAAAGTTACCTTTCGAGTAATGGTAACTGTAACGAGTTACTTACAAAAAGCGATAACTAGTAACGGTAACTCATTATTTTTTTTACTCAGTAACGAGTAATTGTAACTTATTACTTTTAAAAAGTAACTTTCCATTCCCTGAAAATTTCATTTTTATTTTAACAAAAAATTAAATATGTGCATCTTTATGTGCACGATATTTTTAGTATCTTTATCAGTATATACTAAAGGGTGATAAGAATCCATACAACATCAAGACACACAAGTTTCAAATCTGTAATATATATAATGCACATTTGCATCAATTCATTCGTTCGATCTTATATTTGGAATTCTGAAAATTCGTCGACTTTAATTAAACTAAAGTTTCAACTGTTTTTAAAAAAGAGCTCAATTCTGGAATTTGATTATTTTCTTTAAAGTGTCATCACACACAAGGATGTATCAAATGATACATTCTTGTGTGTGAACGTATGTACGTTACGTATATATAGTATGTACATACATATATGTTATTTTATAGACATTAAGAAACTTATTTATACGCGAGCACTATAATGTGAATTACTTGTTTCTTATAATATTTGGTATTATATGTACAGCAATTGTAATTTGAAAATTCTAATACCAAAATTTCGAGACTCTTTTAGTTTTTTTTTTTTTCGATACTTTAATATTAGAATTCTCGTGTCAAAATTATCTGAAGCATCTACTCTTAAGCGTTGTTACGATCTTTCTCCGAACCTTCTGTATATGTAATTTTGTTATATATGTATATGTATAAAAAATGAAAAGCATTTTTGTGCGTCCATGATGTAGTTAATCTCTCAAAGCACAGCAGTATATTACTTCTCAATAGAAAAGAAATGAGGCTGGGTCGACGAAGACATCAGCTCGAGACGATCGCATCTCATGCCGCGCCCAAAAATTATATTCTGCTCGCACCAGTTCATTTCTCTTTCTCTCGTTCTCTCATTTGTCAAACTGTGTACAGTGCGCTATAATCCTAATCGTCTATCGATCCAGCCGGTTCATTCAATCCTTTTGGTCATTCTTCTCACCTTGGATTCACATGGTCAAGGTCATCGTCGCGTCGCATTCGAACCTATCCTACTTCTAATCACAAAAATTAGCAGAATAATCGCATCGAGTGTGTAATTAAGAAACAAAATTATAGATATTTAGTTACATGTATTAATTATAGATTAAATTTTTTGTTTCGTCAGGTATAACTCCTATTAGTTTATCCTTTTTTTATTTTCTAGATAATTATTTATAGAGATTGTATCCTTGATCGATTTTGTATTGATATTTCGTAACCGCACTTGTTGATTATTCGCGATGTTTTATCTTAATCTGTTTTGCAACTTTTATGTAACATTAATGAAAAAAGAAAACAAGATCAAAAATTATAAATTACTACTTTGTGTTACAAAAATTGAGATAATGCGTTTTGATAAAATGTAGAAACGATTTATAATAAGAAGTATGTGATGAGGTCTTTTTATTTCCCCAAAGAACAGGAAGAATATATTGGACAGATTATGTATACGAGAGCCGCAGGCTGCGGAAATTAACCACTACTGATGAATGCTACTCATTCGTTGTACGTTTATGAATGATTCATCGTCGCGCGATTCTCCGTAGAGAAACAAATTCGTTCGAACGTGGCATCTACCGTAAAATCACTCAAGAAATGCTCCTCTTTTATAAAGATTTATTTAAACTGTCAATAAAAACCTTAAGTATACGAGATGTGCTCGCGTAATGAAATATTCCACGACTGTGATAATCGACTAATTCGAAGAAATGAATCATCTCTTTTGATTCACATTCAAAGTTTAAGTTGAAGTGGACAAAAATAGTGGTAATAATAAATGATACGATTTCTCTGACAATTTCGTTATTTACCGTCTATAGAGGACAAAATTGTAAAATGCCAGCAACAATTATATGATATTTAATTTTCTGTTGAAGACTTTTAATTCTTCCCATACAGCACAGATCTTCAAATGACGTCATAAGCCTGTCTTCACAATATATATTTAGAGATTAAAGGTTACCAAGAGATTCATCAATGAAATTCATTCATGAATTTCTTGGTAACCTTTAATCTTTAGGTAATCGTAGATTATGAAAACAGGACTTAAAGACGTCCAAAGGATGTCTCTGTATCATCTGAATGTCTTACGGATATTTCCAGAACATCTATTGAACAAAGTGTGCTGCGTGGGTTGTTTTGTTGAGATACACGGAAATACCGGTAATTTTTATACGATAAGTATCGAAGGGTGCTTTCATTACGATCGATGAGTCAACGAGCG